GGGAGAGGCCGGACTGTCAGGCATTGGGCAAAGCTTTCTCGGCAGCAGCCATTACTGTGGGACTCAGGAACCAAACCCTCTTAGGGAGGGGCTGACAGGAAACCAAAGCTTGTCTGCACCACTCCGAGACTCCACCCCATCCAAAAGGAGCACAGAAGCCCTTCCAGTGGCTAGCTTTCTCGCTCGGAAGAAAAAACAAAACAAAACTCCCAACCGCACTGAGAGACAACTCTAAGCCAGGGAAAAACTGGCTGTCAGGGACCAAAACTTGAGAACAGCATTTCCCCCAAGAGGTGTATGCACCTACAGCCAATCTTGCGGGATTCACCGTGAATAGTACTTTCCTAAGGCAGGACTGACGGGGAACCAAAGCTTGTCTGCACCACCCCAAGACTCTGCCCCATCCAAGCTGAGCACAGAAGCCTTCCTAGTTGAGATACTGCTGATCCTCACAGCCAATTGGCTTGGAGATTAACGCACCTTAGTGATACTAACAATAAGCAAGGCTTAACAAGACTGCACACACAGCTCATTAAGGGCTACACCAAGACTGCCCACCTCGGGTAACTGGAAAGGCTGTGCTACTGGGCTCTGCCAGGTCACCTAGCACACAAAACTATTCCATCAAATCAGGAAAGCAGTTAAAATGCAGAGAAGAGGCAGGACACAAAGGAAGGAAATGGATGAAAATAAAAGAATGGACATTGAGTTCAAAACCACAGTTATAAGGTTTTTCAAGAATTTCTTAGAAAAGGCTGATAAAATGAGACCTTTGAGGATATGAAAAGGGATTAACTAGAAATAAAAAATACATTGTCTAAAATAAAAAAATATTATACAGAGTCCTAAAAACAGACTGGAAGATTGCAAGAATCAAGTCAAAGATTCGGAACACAAAGAGTCAGAGGACACTCTTCTGCAGAAGCAAGAAGAGAAGAAATTCCAGAGAGTTGAAGATAGTGTAAGAAACTAAGAAACCTCGCATGAAACAACTTCAAGTGAACCAACATCAGAATTATGGTGGTCCCAGAAGAAGAGAGAGAGCAAGACACCGAAAACATGTTGGAAGAAATAGTGACAGAAAACTTCCCTCACCTTGGGAAAGAAATAGATTTACAAGTCCAGGAAGCGCACAGAACCTAAACAAAAGGAATCCAAAGAGGACCACACCAAGACACATTGTAATTAAAATTCCAAGAGCAAAAGACAGACTATTAAAAGCAGCAAGAGCAAAGCAGGTAGTTACCTATAAAGGAGCACCCATATGATTGTCAGCTGATTTCTCAACAGAAACCATGCAGGCCAGACGGGAATGGCAAGAAATATTCAAGGTGATGAATAATAAGAACCTACAGCCAAAAATATTCTACCCAGCAAAGCTATCACTCAGAATCAAAGGCTAGATAAAGAGCTTCACAAATAAAAAAATCTAAAGGAGTTCATCACTGCCAAACCAGAATTATATGAATTGCTGAATGGGGTTCTTTAAGAAGAGGAAGAAGATAAACATTAAAATTATGAACAACAAATACATAACTTTCAACAAGTGAATCTAAAAACAAAGAGAATTAAAAAACCTGATGACCAATATTATCTGTTGAATACAACAGAATCAGAGTTATGGAAGGGAGTGGACTGACTACTCTCGGGGAAAAGGGGAGTGGGGGCTGTGGGAAGAGACTGAACAAAAACTGCACCTATGGATGAGGACAATGGGGGGTGGGGAAAGGTCAGAGAGTGGGGTGGGAACCTGGTGGAGGGGAGCAATGGAGGGAGAAAAAAAAAGAGAAACATTTGTAATAATATGAACAATAAAGATTTATTTAAAAAAATAAATAAATAGAAGGCAGTGTTATTTCTATTGTATTCTCTACATTTTTCAGTCAATCCACCCTTGTCTCAAATCCCAGTATACCAATCCTAAGAAACTTACCAAATAAGAGAGAGAAGAATCCAGCCAGCATCCTGAGCCTGCCGCTGGATTCAAGGACTCGTTTTCAGTTTAAAACCGCAGGAGGAAGGAAAGCTTGATGTGGGTGGTGACACCTTTGTTCCAGCCCATTTCTTCCTTCCCTTCACGTAACCCACAGGTTTGATGTCGCAAGCACATTCATTTTTTTCATTTTTCATTTTTCATTTTTAAAAACTACATTTTATTGATTTTTCACAGAGAGGAAGGGAGAGGGACAGAGAATTAGGAACATCGATGAGAAAGAATCACCGACCAGCCGCCTCCTGCATACCCCCCTCTGGGGATGTGCCCACAACCAAGGCACATGCCCCTGACAGGAATCAAACTCAGGACCCCCCATTCTGCAGGTCATCTCTCCATCCACTGAGCCAAACTGGAGTTGGAGCATTCATTTTTTTAAACTGTTAATCCTCACCCAAGATTATTTTTCCATTGGTTTTTAGAGTGGAAGAGAGGGGAAGAGAGAGAGAGGAGAGAAAGAAGCATCAATGTGAGAGAGACACATGGACTAGTTGCCCCCCCCCCCAGACCCTGAGGGGGCCATGATCCAACCGGCAGACCAGGTACCTTCCCTTGACCAGGAATCAAATCATGACCCTTTGTTGTGTGCTCTAACTTTTGAAATGAAACCACATTCTTGAAATGAAGCCAGGCACTGTCACATGGAACATTCTGAAAATGAGGATATTTTGGAGATAGAGAAGAAACCGTTGGTTGCCAGAGTTGAAGAATGGTGTTAGGAAGAGAGGTGGGTGTGATTGTAAAGAGATAGCATGAGGAAAAAACAAAAGAGAGAGAGATAATATCAGGGACATCTTCATGGTGATGGTCTTGATCAGTGGTTGGCAAACCATGGCTCGTGGGCCACATACGGATCTTTGGCCCCTTGGGTGTGGCTCTTCCACAAAATACCACGGCCTGCGCAAGTCTATTTTGAAGAAGTGGCGTTAGAAGAAGTTTAAGTATAAAAAATATGGCTCTCAAAAGAAATTTCATATAGAGACAGTAAAGCAACAAGCAGATTGTCAAATTACAGCGGGGAGGGGAGGAGGATCTGGGGGAGATAATATTATAGATCAACCGAAGGACTTGTATACATGCATATAAGTACAACCAATGGACATAAAACCCTGGGAAGGGAGGGGATGTGATGGAGGGAGGGAGGGGGGCAAAAAAAAATCAATAAAATATGTAAAAAATTAATTAATTAATTAATTAAAATTAAAAAAAGAAATTTCAATAATTGAACTGTTGATATTTGGCTCTGTGGACTAATGAGTTTGCTGACCACTGGTCTAGATCACACGAATCTGAACATATGAGAAAAAGAGAACTGTGCACACACATTGTATTCATGTCAACTCCTTCCTTTTTTTTATTATAATGCATGAGTAATGGGACCATTGGAAATCAAGCGAAGAAATCTGCTATTTTTGGAACTTCCTATGAATCTAGAATTACTTCCAAATAGACACATACACAGTTGGAACTGTGTGAAGAGGAAAAACACAATCTAAACTAAACACGCACAGTCACCCACCGGGGAGTGGGAGCCTCGCTAAAGCGGTTTCCTGTGAGGCCAGGGTGGAGACTGAGCAGAGGTGTTGGTAGAGTGAGCACCGCTGTCTCTTCGATGCCCCCCCCCCCATCCTGTCTGTGAATGCAGACTTCTGGTTATTTTACTGCATGTGACCAGAGAGTAGCCACAGCATTTATTCTCAGCACAAGGCACGAGTTTTAGTAATTGAGTGGGAGACACAGAAACCTTCTCCCGATGCCTGAGGTGTCCTAGAGCCCACAGTGAGAAGTTCAGAGCAGGTGCGCAGCCCAGGAGTCCTGGTCATGCCAGCACCCCCCCCCCCCCCAGTCCCCTACCTCTTCACACAGCACAGCGGCCATGAGGAGGGACCCGGCTGTAATGAGGGGGAGAGAAGGTGTACCATCCATGATCTGGTGGGCCCAGCGCAGTGAAGGGATCAGGGAAGCCAGTAACTTCTGTCTCCAAATCACTTTTATTATCATCAGAATGTGATTTTCAGAGCTTATCTCCGGAGTTATGAGAGAGGAGATAATAGTTCTAAAATAAGAGTGAGCATTTATGGAAAAGAACAAGATAGCCAACAAGAAACAACATGTCTTGAGCTTGAGAATGTAATCGATGACATTTTACATCTGCACCAGGAATACTGGGGACAAACTCAAGAGCAAATTGATATGATAATATAGCCTGGAATTCTCCCAAATCAGGTAAAATGATGAGCGAGTATGAAATAAACTTTGAAAGACTTGATAAACACAACAGTTTCAACATTTGATCAACTGCTGGTCAGAGCAGAAGACAGAGTGGAGGGGAAGCACTCATAAATACTATATAGGAACACATCTTTCCCCCGTTTTCAAAGACCAGTTCCTGCATGTGAAATCACTTGCTACCCAATCAAATGCTGACGTTTGAGGAAGTTTTCAAGTCCTCCGAATGTGGAAGGTGAGGCCGCTCCGTCCTGCCATCAGACCCAGGAGAAGCGCAGGAGGAAGGAGGTCAACGTCTCGTCCTGGGCTGGCCGGGGACGGAGGTTTCCCAGATCCCTTAGGTCTCAGCAGGTCCTGCTGGATAGGGTATTCATCCTCCTCTCCCAATGCCAGGGCCCAGGGGCACCTGAGGGGAGAGGAGGTTGGACCTGGGATCCAGGGAGGAACCAAAAGGAAGACTATTGAGTCTCAGCCTCCACACACAGGTTCCCAGGCAGGAAGAACCAGCCCTTCTCCCAGCCTCTCCACGTAGGCACGTTTCCATGGGGATATGGATAGTACCTGCCCCTCTGCTGCTCCCACAAGGACTGGCACTTTAGTTGCTGTTGGAAAGGAAAGGAGAAGAGATGCTAAATGTTCTTACAGTGACCAGAACGGCCACACCAGGTGAAGAAAAGCCCATCTGTGCCCCAATACGAGACATAAATCCAATGGGTGGGTTTGGAGGGGAACCTCGTATCACGCCAGCAGCCCATGAGAGAGAGAGGTGTTCAGAGTGTTACCTGGACACCCGGGACACCCTCTCTGGCTCCACCAGGCCTCCACCAGGAAGGCCACCATGAGCACCGCGATGAAGGCAGACAGCCCCAGCCGGATGAGGTTACCCGTGGTGTAGTCTGTTGATGTGGCACCAGGAGAATCTGAAAGGGAGAGGAGGGCCACCATGATGTCCCTGCTTCTCAATGGTCAAGCAGAGGTGACCCTCCCGGACCCACGGGTGTGTCCCAGGCAGTGCTCAGCTGTACTATGTTTGTTTACAGTTCTGATCATGGAAACAACAGGCGGAGTGCTATGAGAGTTGTACAATAGTAGTGCTTCATCTTTTTTATTTTCTCGGCCTTACCTCTCTTCCTTCTTTTATTTGCTTTCACCTCATTTGCACCTTCCTGCATTTCCTTTCCCCTTCTCCCTCCTTTTGTTAGGAATCTGTGTGCAAGCATCACAGAGAATCACTGAAATTCAGCAGCTGCATCAGCATCCGTCCTCACAGCACAGAACGCAGCCAGCAGCGAGCTCAGGTGAACTTAGCAGCCAAGCACCATGACTTAGTCCTGTGTTAAGCTTCAGTCACCAGTGGCTCAATCTTGCCACTGGTCCTCGATTCTGAAGAGCAGCCTGCATTTATATCCCCCATCTCGCTCATCCCAGCTCGTGCAAAGGTGACCTCTCAACCCACCAGCACCCATGTTCCCTGCAGGCGGAGTCCATGGAAATGGGTAACAACCCTTCTTCCCAGAAATCAGGGAGCTGTGGGCACCTCTCAGGGCTGGCCATACGGACCTTGACCTAATTGTAAGACATTCACTGACCGCTTTAGAAGATCCACCATCAGGATGTGCAGCATACAGAGTTAAAGCACAGTGTGCCACAGCAGGAAACGAGGTAACCACAGATTATTCTGCCATGAGTATCAGGGGATTAAAAACAAACAACAACAACAACAACATTGCATCCGTCACCATCAAGCAGGAGGCTGTGGAATGCCACATTCTGAGAACAAAAGAGAGTTCAGTGTAATTCCTTTGAAAAAAGCATCCAAAGTTTATGAGATGCAGAGAATGGTGGGAGGAATGGCGATAATGGCAGGCCTGGTAATTCTGAAGAACAGCATGAGAAATTAAGAATTCAGAACAAAGAAGGGCGAAGAAGTGGAAATTAGGAAGTGAGAGGCAGAAGATGACAGATCCCTTTTTAAAGTTCTTTTGTTATATAATTTTTTAATTGATTTTGGTGAGGAAGGGAAAGAGCTACAGAGAGGGGTAGACACACAAATGAGAAGAGAGAACCATTGCTCAGGCGCCTTCCACAAGCCCTGTCCTGGGAATCGGACCACAACCCAGGCACACGGCCCAAATCTGCCTTTCTCATTTCTAATCAACTACTTATCATCTTACCATTTCTCCTAGGGTCTGTGTTATGTTTTCTAGATCCCTCGGTGTTGTGTGGGAGACTGTAATCATGAGAAAGATGAGGGAAGCTTGGTGACAGTGTAACCCTGTGTTCACTCTTGATTATCTGAAGCCTTAAGTAGGCTTAAGTCTCCCAACAGTTTCATCTGTGATAGAAGTTCATAGTAAGGTCTACCAGGGGCCTGGGTAACATAAATTAGGTCATAGCCATTTGCTTGCAGTTTTTAAGAGAGTTCATGGGAGACGATGGACTTCATACCTTGGGGGACACAAGCAGCTGGAAGGCAGGGACTCTGTGCTGGTCACCACATTATTCCCAGTGTTCCTCAGGTCCTGGCCCATAGTAGGACCTCTATGAAAGCACATTGGCTGACTGATGAGATCCTCCAGTGTAAGTACATGGTGTAGATGTGCACCCTATGTTCATTGTAGCATTTTGTTTCTTGTTGTTTTTAAAAATATATTTCATTGATTTTTTTTTTTTTTTTTTTTTTTTTTTTTTTTTTTTTTTACAGAGAGGAAGGGAGAGGGATAGAGAGTTAGAAACATCGATGAGAGAGAAACATCTATCAGCTGCCTCCTGCACACCTCCTATTGGGAATGTGCCCGCAACTCAGGTACATGCCCTTGACTGGAATCAAACCTGGGATTTTTCAGGTTTCTGCTGTAGCATCATTTTTCACAAGAATGTGGAAAAATGCCAACTCGCCTGACTGGCGTGCCTCAGTGGTTGAGCATCGACTTATGAACCAGGAGGTCACAGTTGGATTCCCGACCAGGGCACATGCGGGTAAAGGGAGGATAAAGGTGATGGGAGGAGACTTGACTTGTGGTGATAAACACACAATACAGTATACAGATTATTATAGAACTAGAGGCCCAGTGCACCCTCTGCCTGGCCTGCCCCCTCTCACAGTCCAGGAGCCTTCAGGAGCCCTCAGGGGCCGGAGGTAACCTAGCAATCAAGGGAAGGCAATGGACACCCCATCACACCTCTGCTGCTGCCACTGCTGGCAGCACAAGCCTCAGCCAGTCCTGGGTACCTAGCCTTGGGTGGCCTTGGGCAGCTGAGGGGACTGGAGGACTCTGGAGGCAGGCATGTGGAGTGCCACATGCCTGCTGCTCCAGCTGAGGGGGCTGAGGGGACTGGGTGACACCATTGTGTGGCTGTGGGCACCACCATCTTTGAGGGTGGAGCAGTCAATTAGCATATTTCCTTCTTATTGGCTGTGGGTGCCACCATCTTTGTGGTGCTGTGAGGGTCAATTAGCATATCCCCTCTTTATTAGATAGGATTGTATCCCTGAAACCTATATAATTTTAATATAGGTTTAACCCCATTATGTCAACCCCATTAAATTCAACTTTAAAAAAAGAAAGAAAGCCGAAACCGGTTTGGCTCAATGGATAGAGCGTTGGCTTGGGGACTGAAAGGTCCCGGGTTCGATTCTGGTCAAGGGCATGTATCTTGATTGCGGGCATATCCCCAGTAGGGGGTGTGCAAGAGGCAGCTGATTGATGACTCTCTCTCATCGCTGTTTCTAACTATTTCTCTCCCTTCCTCTCTGTACAAAATCAATAAAATATATTAAAAAAAAAAAAAAAGAACAGAAAGGAAAGGAAAATTGCAGCAGGCAGACCAGGCCACAAAAACATTGAATCAGAATTGCTTGGAATAGGACTCAGGCACCAAACTTTCAAAATCTCCCAGATGATGCAAATAACAGCTGAGATGGAGAGCCACTGCTTTAACTGAACCGAGAAATATCTTTATTAAGACTAGGCATTGACATTGATAGTCAAAGTCAGTTGGCTTAGAAAGAGACTTCCTAATGAAAGTGATTATGGACATCACCGACCAGCCACAGCCTTCCTGCTCAGTGTGGTTGGCACAGTTTTGATGCTAACGTATCTTTAAAGTAAACATCGAGCCTGTTTATGAGTATAGTTAGAAGAAAATCAACGGATGTTGGTTAGGCCTGTGTTTCTAAGAGAGTTCCTCTTTTTACCCTGTGTGAGACAAACAGTTTTGTGTCTTAGTAGCAGAAAGGGGGAAGTTGTCAGGCCTTTGTGCTAAAATTGCATGGGAAAATAAAAAATACTGTATTTTAGCCCTGGCTAGTGTTTCTAAGTGGTTAGCGCATCAGCCCTTGCACTGAAGGGTCGCTGGTTCAACTTCCTGTCAAGGGCACATACCTGAGTTACAGTTTCATTCCCTGATCCTAGCCAGGGTATGTGTGAAAGGCAACCAATGTTTCTCCTCCCTTCCTTCCTTCTGTTCCTTCCACTCTCTAAAAATCAGTAGAAAGAATATCCACGGGTGAGGATTAATAAGATAAATATATTTCATGTTATTTTGGGGAAATTCATAAATAGACACAAGGTGAGCCAAAACCGGTTTGGCTCTGTGGATAGAGCATCGGCTTGCGGACTGAAAGGTCCAAGGTTCGATTATGGTCAAGGGCATGTACCTGGGTTGTGGGCACATCCCCAGTAGGGGGTGTGCAAGAGGCAGCTGATTGATGATTCTCTCTCATCGATGTTTCTAACTCTATCCCTCTCTCTTCCTCTCTGGAAAAATCAATAAAATAGCCAAAACCGATTTGTCTCAGTGGATAGAGCATTGGCCTGCGGACTGAAAGGTCCTGGGTTTGATGCCTGTCAAGGGCATGTACCTTGGTTGTGGGTACAGGGGGTGTGCAAGAGGCAGCTGATGGATGATTCTCTCTCATTGATGTTTCTAACTCTCTATCCCTCTCTCTTCCTCTCTGTAAAAAATCAAAATATATTTAAAAAATAAAAATAAAAATAAAATAAAAATCAATAAAATATATTGGGGGAAAAAAACCATAGACACAAGGTGAAAAGGCTCAAAGAATAAATGGATAAATAAAATGCAAGACCACAGAATAGTCTTCAGCCATAAAAAAGAATGAAAGGGTGACACATGCTATAACATAGATGGATCTTGAAAACATTATGCATATGGCCCTGGCCGGTGTGGCTCAGTTGGTTGAGCACTGCCCCATGCACCAGAAGTTCATTGGTACAATATCCAGTCAGGTCACATGCCTGGGTTTCAGGCTCAGTCCCCAGTAGGGGGCATGCAGGAGGCAGCGGATCATTGCTTCTTTCTCACATTGATATTCTCTCTCTCTCTCTCTCTCTCTCTCTCTCTCTCTCTCTCTCTCTCTCTCTCTCTCTCTCTCCTTTTCTCTAAATTAATAAAACCATATTTGGGGAAAAAAACATTATGCACATAAAATGAACCAGACACAAAAAGACAAATATTGTATGATTACACTTATACAAAGTATCCAGGAGAGGCAAATTCATAGAGACTGGAAGTAGAACAGAGGTTACCAGAGGTTGGGAAGAAAGAGAAAATGGGTTATTGGATAATGGTTATGGAGTTGATGTTTGGTACGATGAGAACATTTTTGGTGATGATGGTTGTATTATATAACATTCTGAATGTACTTATATATTTAAATTTTATTTAATGATTGTTTTTAGAGAGGGGGGAGAGAGAAAATATATATTCTATTTATTTATCATTCATTAGTTGATTCCTTAAAAAAATGTTTTTATCAATTACAGAGAAGAAGGGAGAGGGAGAGAGAGAAACATCACTGATGAAAATCATTGCTCGGACACCTCCCTCACCCCCCACAATGGTGATCGGACTCCAACCCAGGCAGTTGGCCGGGCTGGGAATCCAAGTATTCAAAATGTCACAGAAACCTTACCTGCCACCGAGATCGTGAGCTCATCACTGGGCTGTGAGGCCTGGAAAGGAGCCGTTGGTTGGAAGTACACACAGCTGTAGTTCCCAGTGTCACTGCCTGTCACACCGGGAAGGGAGAAGTCTGTCTCCATTCCTACTGGACCCTGGACCATTATGGGTGTTGAGGTTCCCTTCTTCAGTAGAGCAAACATGTGGGGTTCAATCACAATCCTGGGCTGCTGGCACTGCAGAGTCACGTTTTCTCCTGCAGTCACCTCACCCCTGTGGTGGGCGTGGAGGGAAGGTTTAGGTAATTCTCCTGTAAGAGAAGGAAGCTCAGAAGTCATGGGCAGAAGGCTTGTTGTCCTGGCAGGTCCCCAGGGAGTGTGGGAAGTGACCGACAGCTGACCTCATCCTCTTTCTGCTCTGACTCCAGGAAGGAGATGTCCCTCCCACAAGCCCTGGGTGAAGGCAGGGTCCTCAGCTCTGCTCCTGTCCTTCTCCATCTCACCTCCCCATCCACACTGGAGGGGAGACCCCTGCTCCTCTCTCATTCTCTGGATCCCCCCTCATCCCTGTGCTAGGGAGGTGGTGTGTCATTGTGAGCACCCGTCCTCACCTGTCACCAGTAGGAGAAGGACGTCACTGGGCGGTGACCTTCTGGTGGGGCTCCCTGTCCTATATTTACAGGTGTACTCTCCAGCGTCACTGGTTGTTAGGTCAGTGAGGTGAAACTCTGCCAGGCCCTCTGGGGAATCAGGAGATGAGATCTTCAAAGCATTGTTCTTTCTGAGGGTAAACTTTACGTCCCTGGAGTTGATCTCCCCAGTAGGAGTGGAGCATCGCAGTGTCACATTACTGGTGGCAGGAACCATCCAGCTGGGCCAGGCCTGGATGGAGGGCCTGGGAAGTGACTCTGGAAGGAAGCAGAGTCCAGGCTGGACTTGATTCACTCACCTGCTCTTCTGAAGAAAGAGGAGGGTGAGGGGATTTGGAGTGAAGGAGAAGGAAGGCTTTCCTTGAGAAACACTCACCATCTCTTCTTAGGTCTTGGCCAGCACACAGCCCTACAAAGGAACCGTCATGAGACAGAAACTCCTGCCTGGAGCCCACGTCATCACTGTGCCCTGATGGCTGAGGGACCCTCTCAGGGGCTGGTGATGGCAGCCAGTCATTTGGGATTCCTCCCTTTTCCCACGCTGGGCTCTGCTCTGCTCCATGGTCCTCCATCAGACCTCCCAGAGGTTCTCCAAGCTGTGCTCACCCCCCATGGCTCCAAGATCTTTCCCCCTTCCACAAACCTCCACAAACCCGCCTGTTCTCGTCAGTCCTGAACCACTCTTTGGTTACCATTCTGTTAGTGTCTGTGTTGTTTCCTAGGTCCCACAGTCTTGTGTGAAAGACTGTAATCATGAGACAGATCAGGGAAGCTTGGTCACTGGGTGTAACCTTGTCCACTCTGATGTCACCTGAGGCCCCACATAGGCCTGAGTCTTCTGACACTTTCATCTGTGATAGTGAACCCCATAGTAAAGTCTACCAGGAGCCTTGGGTGATATAAATTAAGTCATAAAAATTGCTTCCAATTTTTAAAAAATACCTTAAAAATAGCTTTTTATTGATTTCAGAGAGGAAGAAAAATGGAGGGAGGGAGAGAGGGAGGAAGGGAGGGAGGAAGAGAGAGAGGGAGGGAGGGAGAGAAGGAGGGAAAGAAACATCAATGAGGAGAATCATTGATAGGTTGCCTCCTGCACACCCTTTACTGGGGATCGAGCCTGCAACCCAGGATTGTGCCCAGACTGGGAATGAACCGGGGACCTCTTAGTCCATGGGATGACACTCAATCTACTGAGCCACCAAGCTGGGATACTTGCAGTTTTTAAGAGAGTTCATGGAAACCGAAACCAGTTTGGCTCAGTGGTAGAGCGTCGGTCTGTGGACTGAGGGGTCCCAGGTTCAATTCCGGCCAAGGGCATGTACATTGGTTGCGGGTACATCCCCGGCGGGGGGTGTGCAGGAGGTGACTGGTCGATGTTTCTCTCTCATCAATGTTTCTAGCTCTCTGTCTCTCTCCCTTCCTCTCTGTAAAAAAATCAATAAAATTTCTATAAAAAAAAAAAAGAGAGAGAGTTCATGGAAGATTAGGGCAGGGAAAGGGACTGGGGGGTAAGAGTCCAGCTTAACCTGTAAATTAAGCTGAGATGACAAGAGACATCATCATAAGGCCTCATGAAGCAATTTTAAGTGCAGACCACAACACCCTTCATGTGGCATCCTCTGGCTGAGTATCAAGCAAGATTCTAACACATTGAGATGTTCCTCAGTCCCCACCTATTCAACGCCAGCCCCCTCCCTCCTGAAGGCACTGCTGATGGGGAACAGGGAGCCTGTAATTGGGGGCTCCTTCATGACTGTGGAGCACACAACTCCCACACTGAGAAACACCTGATACTTAAGTGGCCACAAAGCCTGCAGCACGGGTCCCGACGTGTGTGAAGCAATCAATAAAAGGAAGGCAGTGCTATTTCTCTTGTATTCGTCACATCTCTCTGTCAATCCACCCTTGTCTAAAGTTCCAGTATACCAATCCTAAGAAACTTACCAAATAAGAGGAGAGAGAGGAATCCAGCCGTCATCCTGAGCCTGCCACTAGATTCAAGAACTAGTTTCAGTTTTACAACCACAGGAGGAAGGAAAGCTTGATAGGGGTGCTGGTGTCTGTGTTCCAGCCCATTTCTTCCTTCCCTTCACGTCACCCACCAGGTTTGATGTCACAATCACATTAATCACTTTTTATTGTTAATCCTCGCTGAAGACTAGTTTTGCCTTGGTTTTTAGAGAGAGGGGAGAGAGAAGAGAGAGAAACATCAATGTGAGAGAGAGATGTTGATTGGTGTCCTCCTCCACAGGCCCTGACCGAAACCAGGGATCAAACCTGCAAGCCAGATACCTTCCCTTGACCTGGAATCAAACCTGTGACCCTTCGGTGTATAGATTGATGCCTTAACTACTGAAATGAAGTCACATTCTTTTTAAAAAATATATTTTTTTATTGATTTCAGACAGGAAGGGGGAGAGAGAGAAAAACATCAATAATAAGAATCATTGTTTGGGTGCCCCTGCATGTCCCCTACTGAGGATTGAGCCAGCATCCTGGGCATGCGTCCTTGACCTGAATCGAACCGAGGACCCTTTGGTCCACAGGCCAATGCTCTCTCCACTGAGCCAAACCAGACAGGGCTGAAATCACATTCTAAAAATTAAACCAGTCACTGTCACATGGAACATTCTAAAAATGACAATGTTTTGGAGATAGAGAAGAAATCATTGGTTGCTGGGGTTGAAGAATGGTGTTAGGAAAGGAAGTGGGTGTGGTTGTAAAGAGATATCACGAGGGACATTTTCTTGATGATGGACTAGATCAGTTGTGGACTGTGTTGGTGAGCATATGATAAAATGTGATAAGAAATAATAGAACTGTGCACACACATTGTGTTCATGTCAACTTCTTCCTTTTTTATTGTAATGCATGAGTAATGGAACTATTGGGAGAAACCCAGTGAAGAAACCCATGCTATTTTCGAACTTCCTGTGAATCTAGAATTACTTCCAAATAGACTCATAAAAAGTGGGAACTGTGTGAAGAGGAAAAATACAACCTAAACTAAACAGGGACAGTCACCCACGGGGGAGTGGGAGCCTCGCTAAAGTGGTTCCATGTGAGGCCACAGTGGAGACTGAGCAGAGGTGTTGGTAGAGTGAGCACCCACTGTCTCTTCGATGCCCCCCCCATCCTGTCTGTGAATGCAGACTTCAGGTTATTTTACTGCAAGTGACCAGAGAGTAGCCACAGCGTTTATTCTCAGCACAAGGCTGTTTTAGTAATTGAGTGGGAGAAACAGAAAACTTCTCCCAATGCCTGAGGTGTCCTAGAGCCCACAGGGAGAAGTTCGGAGCAGGTGCGCAGCCCAGAAGGAGTCCTGGTCATCCCAGCACCCCGAGAAGTGTAGTGGGAAGACTCTCCCCATTTCATACACACAGCACAGCAGCCATGACGAGGGACTCGGCTGTAATGAGGGGGAGAGAGAGCAGGCCATCCATGATCTGGTGGGCCCAACACAGTGAAGGGAGTGGGGAAGGCAGTAACTTCTGTCTCAGAAAAACTTTTATTATCATGAGAATGTGATTTTCAGAGCTTATCTCCAGAGTTATGAGAGAGGAGTAATAGTTCTAAAATAAGAATGAGCATTTATGGAAAAGAACAAGATATCAAACAAGAAACCAGATCTTGAAAATGGAACTTGACATTTTACACCTGCAAGAGCAAATTGATAATGTAATATAGATTGAAATTCTTCTAAATTAGATAAATTTGTGAGAACGTACGAAATAAACTTTAAAAGACGTGATAAATACAGCAGTTTCAACATTTGATCAACTGCTGATCAAAGCAGAAGATACTGGTAGAGTGGAAGGGAAGCTCTAATAAATACTGTATTAGTATTTCACTGCTTCCCTGAGTTGATAGAGTAGTAGCTTTGTGTGCTAGGTGTCCTATATGGCCCCGTGGGTCAGCCTCCCCAGTTACCTGAGGTGGACACTCTTGGTGCTCCCCTTTGTGGACTGTGTGTACAGCCTTGTTTTAGTTAAGCCTTGATTGTTGTTTGTATCCCTGGGAGGAATTGACCTCCAGGCCAATTGACTGTGAGGATCAGCTGTGTCTACACTGGGAGAACTTCTGTGCTGGAGACAGCCTTATGAGACAAGACTTGCAAAATTGCAAAAGCCTTTGTGATCAGCTTGGATGGGGCAGAGTCTGAGGGCTGAAAAGACAGCCTTGGCTTTTTGTCAGCCCTGGCTTCCTGTCAGCCCTGCCCTATGAGGCCCCTGGGTCTCAGTATCCCTCAGTAATCACTGCAAGCACCTCTGAGAGAAAGCCACTCTTGAATTTCATGGATTGTCTGCCTCTTGCACCCCCTTATTGGGGATCAAGCCCACAACCTAGGCAAGTGCCCTTGACCTAGATGCATCTATACCAAGGACCTTCGTATAATGTGTTTCCCATAAGGCAACACCAGGATGGGAGGAAAGGTTTGGGGAGCTGGGCAGTTCTGGGTTGAAATTCCGCTTCCCTGTATGCCGTGTGTGCATGCTGATTCAGTTTACAAGCTCCCATTGGATTCTTTACCTGTGGGAGTGGACCTAGTTTTCTCGCAGGGTTTTTGTGGTGGTGGTGCTGGGTCACTGGTATTTCCCAGATGTGAAACGCAGCCATTCCTGTCATATGTTGGTTCTGGGGGAAAGGGAGGAGGATCAGAGCATGTGTGATTTTTTAAAATATATTTTTATTTCAGAGTGGAAGGGGGGAGGGAGAGATAGAAACATCAATGATGAGAGAGAACCATTGATTGTCTGCCTCTTGCACATCCCCTTATTAGGGATCAAGCCCACACCCAGGCAAGTGCCCTTGATTGGAATCAAATCCGGGACCCTTCAGTCCATAGGCTGATGCTCTATCCACTGAACCAAACTGGCTAGGGTGAGCACGCATGATTTTATCAAACATCACATGACTGACCACTGACCAGTGCCTTCGATTTTATCAACAGGAAAGTCTATTCAAAGCTAGCATCTGATACCTCCATCATGACTAACTGCCTTTATAACAAAGAAATGGTAGGTTTCAGGCTCAGAAGCTTGACAAGCAACACTGTATAGTTGAAATATTGTTGCCTTGGCCGGTATTTCTCAATGGTTGGAACCTCACACCGAAGGGTCGAGGGTTCAATTCCCAGTCAAGGAGGTGCAGGTTTAATCCCTAGCCCCTGTCGTGGGGCACATGAAGGAGGCAACCAATCTGTGTGTTTCTCTCACATCAATTTCCTCTCAATCTCTTTCTCTCCCTCCCTTCTATTCTAAAAAAATCAATGGAAACAAAAAAATCCTTGGATGAGATTAACAAAAAATATGTATTGTAACATTGTTTCTTTCTCATTGTGTTGACTTCATAGTTACCTTATATTTGATACCAGGTTTTTATTTATGCTACTGATATAAAGTTTCTATATTGAACACTTTTATTTAAACAAAATATCTGAGTTGATAAGAAAACCATGAGATATTCAGCGAAAATTACAAAGTTGGAGCAAGTCTCATTGTGATTTAGAAAGCACAGGTTTAGGGGTAGTGTGTGTGTGTGTGTGTGTGTGTGTGTGTGTGTGTGTGTGTCTTGGCAAGTTTTTTTTTTTTTTAATATATGTTTATTGACTTCAGAGAAGAAGAACAGAGGGAGAGAAGAGAAAAAAACATCAATGATGAGAGGATCATTGATTGGCTGTCTCCTGTACACACCCTACTGGGGATTGAGCCACAACCTGGGCATGTGCCCTTGACCTGAATCGAACCTGGGACCTTCTGTCCACAGGCCAACGCTCTGTCCATTGAGCCAAACCTGCTAGGGCTTGGCAAGATTTTTAATACATCACATGCACTCAGTAAACCACAGTTGATGTTATAATTTCTCCCCGATTCAAACCTCTCACCAATTATATTATTCTCTGTGGCCTCACCCCAGCCCGCTAGACTTACTGATACAGAGAGGAAGCAGCTTATGGATCACAGTGTCACGTCAGCCTTCCCTGGAGTCCTGCACCGTCCACAGAAGCTCCAAAAGCTGGGACAGTCACAGATCATCCCTGACGGGAGTGTGGGCAGTTATGACCTTTCTCTGACCTCTCACTTCCCTCCTCCACAGCCAGTTTCTGGAAGCGTGTTGTGCCATCGACGGCAGCATGTTCCTCCCAGCTGATCTTCAAGAAGAACTTCCTCTGTCTCCGTCCATTTCAGGCACCAAGCAGTCAACCCCCCAGATGCCTAAGGCTGGAGCCTGCAGAGTTCGGTGGAGGAGATGAAGGTACTTTGCTCAAAAATGGTGGGAATCCTGGGCAAACCTTCCGGTTGCTAAACAGTGTGCACAGGCTCAGAACTAAGGGCTTGGGCCAGATAGTTCCTTGCTACAGAAGACTCTCAGACCCTGGCAATGTGGTGAGTGTACGGGGTAGTACAGGAAAAGGATACACACAACAGCAACATACACAGCATAAGCAGGGGGTAGCCCTGGCCTGTGTGTGGCTCAATTGGGCATCATTCCGTGCACTGAAAGGTTGCTGGCTCAATTCCTAGTCAGGGCACATGCCCAGGTTCTGGGCTTGATCCCCAGTAGGGGGCGAGCAGGAGGCAGCTGATCAGTGATTCTCATCATTGATGTTGCTATCTCCTTTCCTCTCTCTAAAAGCAATTTTAGCTGAAACCGGTTTGGCTCAGTGGATAGAGCGTCGGCCTTAGGACTGAAAGGTCCTGGGTTTGATTCCCTTGGTTGCGGACACATCCCCAGTAGGGGTGATGCAGGAAGCAGCTGATTGATGATTCTTTTTCATCGATGTTTCTAACTCTCTATCCCTCTCTTCCTCTCTGTAAAAAAAAATCAATAAAATATATTTTTTTAAAATAAATTAAATCAAATAAATTTTAAAAACACATTTAAAAACATAAAAAATAAAATCATCTTTGACTCCTGGGAAACATCTGTGTGTGACTCACAGGCTCTCAGACATGGCTGCCACCAAAACGAAATGAC